AGTGTGTTGCGCAAAAGCTCGAGGGGCGCTTAGAATTCTAGATTCGTGGTGCACGTGGAGGGGTTTGGCCTACGACTTCCAAAAAGCTCCCACTAACTGACCACCACCGCTGAGTCACAAGCCTTCGACCAGGGACCACCACGCCTACCAGATCTTCGGGTCTCCGTCACGTCTCAGATCCTTTAGCGGGGTGGCTCTGCGGGTAAGCCGCTGCGCATGATTCTCGAACATGCTCGTGCGCGGCCTTCTGGGCTGGCTATCAAGGTCTGGACCACCAGGGCAGACATGTGCTCGGAAATGCTTATTGCGACGACACTTGTACCTGAAGGGAATGACCAAGATTGGCATGCAAAGCGAGACCTGTAGCTCTACACGAACAGCTTTAGAGTCAGTAGCTGCTGTCAGAGATTTCTGATATCCAGAGACATGAGTAATCATCAGTTTTTTCAAGACAGCCCACAATGAGGGAAGTGCGAAAAATAAGTAGTATAGATATCCTTGACGTTGGCTACTTTGACCTCCCTATATTCGAGAGAAGAATATAATTGTTTATCTAGCAAGTAGGGTATTTTTCTAGCAACCGTCCAACCCAGACCTGATACAATGGATAGATGACCTTGAACGCCTCAGACTTGCAGGTCCTAAAATACCCTGACAGACAGCTCCCTGAGCTATCCTATTCTTGCACCTTTTTCTCCTGTAGATACAAGAGCCGATCACGACTATCGGCCCTGAAAATGGCTGGATTGCCTTTGTCCAGCAGTACAACATATGCTCAACACCTGTCATCCTGTAAGAGGTGGCTGCATCACATTCGTTGTGAGGCTTGATTGGCGAGACCGCCTGAACGTACAGTTGCACCTACTATCAACGTGGGCGTGGTTGCATGGACCCCATCTGCTGTGGCATTTGGGGAGGGTACATTTGTTGACGCTTCGCTGGATTGTTCATATCGTCGCCTCCAGATATTTCCGAGACTTGACGGCGATGACCCGGCGCTAGTTGTGATTGTTGCTGCTGTTGCATTTGCATGTGTGGTGAGGTACTGTATCCCATGTTCCCGTGCATGGGGTTCACACCATATGGACCTGGGTGTTGGACTGGTTGACCTCGCATTGCTTGCGCAAAATCGTCCGGGACCGTGCTGCCTACAGGAGAGACGCCGGGCATTTGGTTGGGTGAGTTCCAGTTGCTGACCGTCTGTGGAGATTTAGCTGGAGAATCTTCCTCTTTGAGCACCAATTGACGCGCTATTTGCACAGGCTGGGGCGCGACCATGGTTCCGTCAGCCTGAGCGACTGGCTTTTTGAGATGAACAAGGTGCTTCTCTAGCATGTGTAGAAGACCTTCCTTAGTGAAAGGCTTGGGGAGAACATCGTTCATACCTGGAGATGTTAGTACAGAGACTGAGAATGAACAAATTTCTCTTACCATGCTGGAAGTACATGGAGATGTCGTCGCTTCGGATATTAGAAGTCATAGCAACAATCGGTGTAGTGTCAAACTGTCGAATCAAGTGGCATGCTGATACACCGTCCAGGTTTGGCATGATAATATCCATCAAGACCAAGTCGTACTTTGAGCCAGCGTTCATCTTGTTGACAGCTTCCAGACCATCGAGCTGGGTTCAGTTAGCATGGCGTACAAACGACGAGAGTAGATGACTTACAGCACTATCGATGGAGCAGTGGAAAGCGTACAAGAACTTGCTTCCAATTCGACGGCACGTGGGGTCGTCCTCAACGAGCAGAATCTGAGGCGGTCGAATCCATCCTGGATCTGGAATAGCATTTTTCCTCTTTGGCTCTGGCATTCTGGGTTCGCTGGATTCTACTGCTTTGGGCGGGGCAGCATAGGGAATGTTGTTGATGTGCTCGCTGTACATGGGGTCAATACCTTGGTTGGAACCGACAGGGTAAACGAGGTTATCGAGGTTTTCGAGACGCATTGAGTTGGTCGAAGTTGCTGATGGCGGTCCGCGGCTCGTCGGTCGCAGTGTTGCTCGCGCGATATCTGGTGGTGGGGTTGTCAAAGTGCCGTTCATCCGCATGGTGATCTCGTTCATCTGCTCCAGGTTTCGGGGGTTCAGCATAGCATCTGCGTTTGTTTCGCTTAGAAGTTTAGAAGCGTGCTGCAATGGAGAAGCGGGGTTATCGTCATCGTTGGCTGCGGCGGGCTCCATGCTGCCGTTCTGCGAGTCGGTGCCGTTGGGGAAAACGAGCTTGCTGTTCCTCCTTTGCGTCGCATCAACGCCGTGTAGGAAAGTCATGATCTGCTGCATGACATGCTCGTGGTTGACAACCGTCTTTTGTAGCCCGATGACCTCTTGCAAGAGCATGGAATGGTGGATGCTCAATTCACTGTAGCGACTCTCGAGCGCATGCAGTTGAGCTTGCGTGGCCATCAGCTGTCCGCTAACCATGTCCATCTGTTGCGAGGGCGCAAACTCTTCCGCGGCGGCTTGGTTGGGTTTCCGCGGCGCGGGGGCCTTTCGACGGATGTTGTCGAGCGCGTCTTTGTTGTTCATCTTGAAGTCGGGGTGCTTGAATTCCCAGGCCTATGGGGCTGTTAGCCACGATACCCGCAGACGTATCCAGGGATGCCACATACTCCAGGCCCGTACGGTGACTGTCCATTTTCTTCGTTATTGTGACGGACTTTGTGGAAATCGTACTTGTTTAGCTGGCGGACAAAACTGGCGAAATTGCTGTGTTTGAAGTGCTTGGGGAGGATGTGCTTTGTAAATTTCTCGTTCTGTTCCTGGGTCAGCAAGTCTGCCACGATATTGAAGGCCCGAGGCGCATACTTCCAGGACGACAAAACTGTCGCCGTCATTTCCCCATCTTACTACACTCTCGTCGCTCCCATTCTCCAGCATCCTAGATGAGGTTCAGCGCGAAGCACAGCGCGCATGGGCGCGTCAACCTACTTGTACAGCTTGCGCACAAAGTCGCTGGAGTTGTTGGACCCTCCCCCACCGGCTTGGCTGGGATCCATGATGGTGAATTGGGCTGCGTTGTGGGCGTAGATGCCGCTGGTGGTAATCCGTGTTGATGCGCGACGGCACCCAGATAGTCGAATGGATGCCTAAGGGTCTGCTGAAACCCAGTCACAGTCTTCACCACTGGAGGCGACCGCGATGGAGCTACTGGGGACGGTGCGCAAGGTTCCGGTCGCGCGTTGGAGTGGTTTAAACTTTTGCTTGGCCGGGGGCGGATCGGTGGTGGATGGGCGATGACGAAATTTCCCAAAAAGGGCGCGCCGTGTTGCAGGCGGACGGAGGGCGATGGACGAGATCTGGAACCTTCAAGTGTAAGAAACAGGGAGACATGGGCACCTCTGCGCGGGCACTTGGGAGCTAAACGGGCCTAAAGCAGGTTAACACTGGGCTCGAGAGGAATGCAGTCGAGCATGCGCTAGGAGCAAGCCAAGCGGGCGACGTGCCGAGGAGACGTGCCAGGGGGTTGCTGCTATGACAGGACACGGGACACGGCCATGGGCAGACTGAGTCGCACCCCGTTTCCACACCGCACACACATCGCGAGCGCGGCCATAGTACCTGCAGTCCTTTTTCGGCGACCATGGTACGCCGGGCGTGGCTGTCCCAGCCAATGTTTCCGTGTTTCTGCAACCCATGTCCCCACTGATTACGCCGTTGACGATTCACCACCGGCTTGAGGCACGATCGGCATACAGCAGCAAGCGTGCAGTTGGGCTGCGCTAGTACCGGTGTGGGTCGAATGGGTCAGTATCATTATCCGCAATTTGCTGCTGCACTCAAGACTAACCTGCATATATACAGCTCTTATTTATGGACACGATGCTGCCATGTGTTCCGATATTGCATACTTCGGGGACAGGCTGCACACGTCAAGTGGGACGCGGCCGGTGGGCGCGCCTGCCGTCTTCCGACCGAAATACCCCCACCACCAGTGCCTCACCACCACCAAGTGCACACGTGCTCTCTTCACACACGCCCACATTCACGCACCTCTACCTGCATACACGCCATGTTCGCTACCGCCCGCCGTCTACCCCTAGTTCGTCCAGTCGCCGGTCGACGTCTGTTCCACGCCTCGGCACCTGCATTCGTCAATGTCGGTGACAAGCTGCCCAGCGTTGACCTCGTCGAGGGTTCGCCAGGTAACAAGGTGAACCTGGCCAACGAGTTGTCCGGAAAGGGTGTGATTATCGGTAAATTTCCCCTAGCGTCGACTGAGTGAACATGTGTTTGACAATGGCAAAGGCGTTCCGGCTGCCTTCTCGCCCTCGTGCTCTGAGAACCACATCCCGGGCTACATCAACTCCTCCAAGCTGAAGGATGCCGGCAAGGTCTTTGTTGTCTCTGTGAACGACCCTTTTGTCATGAAAGCATGGGGCAAGATGCTTGATCCATCTGGCTCCAGCGGTGTGAGTTCCTTGCACTCCAATGAGAAAACACCCTGTTGACCTCTGTAGATCCGCTTCCTCGGTGACCCCAGCCTGAGCTTCACAAAGGCCCTTGACCTCTCTTTCGACGGTGCATCCATCTTCGGAGGTGACCGCTCCAAGCGATATGCTCTGGTCATCGAGAATGGAACCGTCAAAGCAGCGCACGTTGAGCCTGATAACACAGGCTTGAATGGTATGAGTCCCTACTAATCAATAGCGAACGCAGCTTGCTAATAAGACACAGTCTCTGCGGCAGACAAGGTTCTATAGACAATCCACGACACGTTTTCAGATAGAGGCTAGGATGAATATCCGCTACGACGACCACAGTCTGCTTACAGTCTCAAAAATGGCCTACGATGTCTATCGCAGAGGAGATTGGATACCCCATCTTCCCTATACCGATGATCAATATAACACATCATGTTTATGAGATTGCTTCGAATACGGTGACATTCTACTGAATCAGACAGCAAAACGAAGCAGTCTGGACACCCTGCGCTAACCTCAGACTTAACCCACAAACCCTCTACACGCTCTGCACACATAGACCAACACAAACACACCATCTACTTCTTCCCAGCAAACGCGCACGTCCCAAGATCGCGCTTCTCCGCTGGAAGCTGGGGACTAATGTCAAAGTCGAAGATGTCCATCGGTAGTCCGATGGTTGTACACGCGTTGGGGATATCGACAATACCAGCTATATGGCCTTGAATTGGGGCACACGAGAGCAGGAGATAGATCTGGTAGTCGCTGTAGCCTGCAATGGAGTCAGTAACCAATTTTCACGAAGACCAAAGCGTTTCGAAACTCAAAACCAACCCCCTCGCTGCAAACACCATGAACAGTCGCTCCTCCAAACGAAAAAGCCAGTGCCAAGGAATCAAGAACGCCGGAAGTACCAAACGGGATATGAGCCTCGAACCTCGCCAGGGCAGGCTAGGCCATACGCAGACCCCAAAGCTTCGCAAAAGCAAACCGACCCAGAAAAGAAAAGAAATAAACTCACCAAACCGTCTCAAATACTCAATCACTCTCAAACAAGTCTGACGATACGCCACCGTAGCATCGAGATAATGCTGTTTACCCTTCTCATCCACACTAAACCCCTCAAAGTAGATGTACCTGCCGGGACCAAACTGCGGCTCCACAGGACCAGGGATGTAAATGGGACTCTTCATGTCGAGCTGCTTCATGCCACCCTTCATGACGCTGAATTTGATGGTGATGACGCCTGCCATTTCGATGGCGCCGCAGAAGGATATTTCGCCGTCGCCCTTGAGGAGAGAGGGAGAGGTGTTAGTTTGGGTTGCTCTGTTCAGGATAGGGTTTGTGGGGGTGGATGGGAAGTGCTTACTTGGCTAAAATGTAGGTCTCCTACGCTGAATTTCGCGCCGGGTACGTGAACTGGGAGGAAAACTTTGGAGCCGCGGGAGAGGTTCTTGATGTCGCAGTTTCCACCATGTTCAGGGCGTCCTGGGATCGTGCGAGCGCCTTCTTTCGCGATTTTGTCCTTCACGGAACCTGTGGCGGAGCCGGAGTGGGCGTTTTGGGGCTGTGGTGGTTGTGCAACGATGCGGTCCAGGTGCGTGTGCGTCGAGATGAGTTCGGCTTCACGCGTGTTCCAGGTTTCGAGGACTTCAGCGGAGGGGGCACAGCCTAGGACTGAGATTGTGGAGGATTTGGTTAGTTTTGTATTTACTTTGTGTTTACTTCGGGGAACAGGTAGATAGGGAGTAAGCTTACTGCCAGGGTGAATGAGACCTGCGAATCTCACACCAGGGATGTGGCGGGAGCTGCAGAAGATGCCTTCGAAATCCCAAATAGCCTTTGCACTGTATGTGCGTTAGTCTTCATGTCTTCTCTTCTTCCATTGTTTCCTCGAATCGCGATATTCGTCTTGCAAACTTACGGTTCCGGGTAAAGCTCATCCAGGAACCCTCCACCGTTTTCTTTCGCAAATATACCCGTGAAACCCCATGGCTGGTCTTCTAGCGGCTGTACATCTTGGATATCAACTACCAGCACATCGCCAGGCTCCGCAGTTTCGATGTCAAAGGGCCCAGTCAAGTAGTGGATTTTGGTCAGGTCAACGTCACGGATGTCATCTGCCGAGTCATTGTTGCCGATTTGACCGCCTGTCCAATCTACGCATTCAATCTTGACGGCTTCACCAGGTTTGATCGTGCCGTAGGAGGGGTTTTCGGGATGCCAGCGGTTCTACACGTGTTATCTTTGATGATAAAGTTCGGGTATTGCGAGCATCTAACGTACGTGCAGGCATTCCTGTTCTGATGCTGGTTTATCGAGCGAGACTTTCGCCGCGTATCGTAGACCTTCCTTGCCCATATCGAACTTTGGAAGTGTATCAGGATTGGGAATTAGATGGAAGAAAAGAGATCAATCCGGGGGTCAAACAACAACAGAAGACGCGTCCAGTCGCGAGAGGGGCAGGTCACATATAAGAAGCCAATAGACGCGGGGAAAGAGTCACTCTCAACCTATCAATTGTTATCTGGGACGAATAGATACGTGCCGAGGACAAGACCGAATCCCATATCCACCAACTATTACTACAAGGTGGGTGATAAGCTCGATGATACGGGGCTGTTACGTTACGTATGATCGGATGGAGCTGTAAGCTACCTACCACAACGGGACGTGTTGACCCCACTGCGGGGTATAGTCATAATGGAACCATCATCGTACAGCGGCCGGATAGCGTGACAACTAGATATACCTGATTGCCGACGGCGCATGTACTAGCTGCGGTTCGTTTTCTAAGGTGCGAGGCTGCGTGTTCGTCATGTTGAGCGGCAGTTTTCCGCTCACATAGAGTTTGTCACCCGGGGGATCCACGTCATCGCAAACTAGCTGAAGGTCTTCCGTGGTGTTTGGCGTACTTCGGATTGGATCTTGGGCTTGTGCATTGCGAGGTTGTATTCGTCCATGTGCTGCCATGGCAGATTCAAGAACTCGTGTTTATTCTTCCAGCGCAGTGACTCTTCCTTGAACTTTTCGGCTTCGGTGGGCGGGAGCGGCGGCTCTGTGATCTTCGTGATGAGGTATGCCGTGGACGCTTCGGCGAGACCGTAGATGAGGACGCCGACGAGGGGTATCTTGACAAAGATGTAGAAGCCTAAGCCGAAACCAAAGAGCACACCGGCTCGGTCTTTGAACCAGAGCTTCTTTTGCTCTTTGTTGTAGCGAACGCGTGTGAAGTAGGGCTCAAGCTGTTTGAAGTCAGCAAAGTGAGCATGAAATTTGTTGAAGAGGTGCTTACCAGCTCTCGCATAAGAGTTCGTGATGAGAAGTAAGCCTGCAGGAAGCTGACCAGGTATCTGCGGGGGAACAGCAATGATCCCGCGAAGATGGCTGCTGCGGGCTGGGTTCCCACCGATTTCTTGAATGTGTAGAAACTGGCAGCGGGCAGCACGAAGCGTCCTACATATGGTACGTAAGACAACGCCAGAACTGCCAAAGAGATGGCTGCCTTTCTCCCCTGTTTTGTTGCATATAGCATTATAGCCTGTTTGATGGGCTTCTTCTCCTTCTCGGGCTTGGGTGCGTGGTCGGGGTACTTCTCGAGGTTTGGGTAGTACATGGCGCGGAGGTTGTGCGGGTCTTCGGTCTTGTGCTTCTGGACGTACGTCTCGTCGACCCAACGGAGGGAGTCCATGAACCTGGAGACGTTGTCAGCTACATCTCAAAACGGCTACGAGCGTGCCTACATGCGATCCAGAGTAGGTGTGACGTAGCGCATCATGGTCATGAGGAAGAAGGGCACCTGGAGGACGGTGTGCTCAAGGAAGTGGAGGCCGTTGACGACGCTTTCGTCCATGCTGGTGTGGTCCATGTTGACGAAGAGAGAGAGGATCCATAGTAGCACTCTGACGCCGACAATCTGGCTACGTTAGAAGTGATGTTTGCGTAGCATAGGGCATCCGTGGATGGTCGGGACGTACAGGTATGGCGACGATGATGCGGATGGCGACGCCTGCAGCTACAGCAATAGCAGCCTGACGGTAGTGGTCCGAAGTGAAGAGACCCGGGTTCTGGAGAGCTCGATTGACTGCGGCGGTATCAGAATGGAGCTGTCACTCACGATACCATGATGGCTCGACTTACCACCAACCAGAGTAAGCTGGGCTCCCCGCAGGATGGCGTTGGGGTCGAAGTTGGACACGTCGAACTGGGACATGTCGATTTTGTCCATGGTGGCAAGCTCGACAGAAGCTCAGGCAGTCTGGTGTTGCTTTCGGCGCAGCAAACGTGGATTGCGTCCACGTAGAGGGCGTGTGCGAACGCCTGCGAACTGGCGGAGCCCATGACGTACTGACAGCTCCCCACGGACCCATGGTAGCGCAGCGCGTCGCAAGCAAAGCAAGTAACGCGTTGTTGATAGGGGATGCCGTCGCACCAACAAAACACGCACCCATCTGCAGCGTCCCATCTCACACCGGCGGCATAACTGGCAACTGGACGCGCGCGGGGTTCAGACGATCCGCTGATCGGGTTGAAACTCCAAGTCGTCCCTGTGGCCAAAGCGCGTAGCGTTCCGAAGCCAGGGACTTCCAGTCCCTTCAGCCTCTCCATCACCCCCCATCTCCGCACTAACACTTGTAATACTCTTTCCAAGCGCCGGCCGCTGTCTTCTGTCGGGACCCTCGACCTCGCCCTCACCATACCGGGATAGCAATGCCCCTATAAGAAGTCTATTATGACGATGCCGGCTTCATCCCAGCATCCTGAGCACGCGCCGTCTGCTCTCAACCCCAGCAACTCGAGGCGCAGCTTCACACTGCCCGCGCGCACTGCACGGAGGACTACGTCGGTGCCTGCACCGTCTGCCAGCAGCGCAGATGGCATAGAGACACTGTTCGTGTGTGCCAATTCCAAGATCTTCTCCTTCACAACAGCTGGGCCCGCTCGGCGCCTGTCACCTTCCCGCTCAGGTGACGCAGCGCATCCGATACCATGGAAGACGCCCACAGAGCGCACACTCGCAGTCGGTATGCCATCCCATGTGTCACCGGGCTGGAACTTGTCTAACCTATCACAGGCGCTCTCCGTATCTATCGTGTGACAGCCTCCAACGTCTCCTTCCTGAACAGCGGCAACCTCCTGCACACCATCTTTCCCAGGTCTCAGATATGGCTTGTCGACAATCAGTCCGTCTTCGTACTGCGCGTACGCCAGGACTCGTACTATCGCATCGAGCTCCCCTATGAGACGGACGATGACAAGGACAAGATCACGCAATTCAAGTCGGTATTGGCTCAAGTCATGCAGTACGAGAGAACCCAATGCCCGTTTGCGCGAGGCTTCGAGGTTGTCGCAGAGCTCGAGCGCCCAAAGAGCCCCCCACGCAAGACGATCAAGAGGAAGCCCTCAGGGCAGGCAAAGAAGTGGGTCATGGACAAGACCTGGGTTCCGCAGCAACATGGTTCACGGCCTTCTACTGCTGGTACTATGAGCTCAGAGACTGGTACCACTTCTTCAAATGAAGAGGACGACCGGTCGAGCGTCTGTACTGACAGCAGCGAAATAGTGCCGGCCGCACCCGAGACCCCTTTGGCGAGAACAGCACCGAAGCCCCTCCTATCCAGATCTCCTCAACGTCGCCCCTCGGTAGCGGAACGCGCCAGCATGTTTCAAGGCCTGCGGTCAGTTACGGCGCCCATCCGAGCGCCCAGGAGAGAATCGGTATCGGCCATGGAACGTATAGTCGAGTCTCCAGCAGCAAAGCAACCCACCGAGGCTGAAAAACCCATACTGGAACGCCAGATCTCGGATGCCTTGAGTCTGGCCTCAAGCGCAGACTCGTTCTACTCTCTGGATACTGCTACTCCACGAAGTCCTTCTCCCAAGTTCCTCGATGCCGAGGCTGATATCGTGAACCCATGGGCACAAGTCTTTTCCAAGCAGCAAGATGAGCCCAGGGGCCGTTCGATACACCGACGTCAGATATCTGAGGTTACTGTCCGCGGCCCATCCACCGAGCGTACTGATGCATCCGCACCTGTGACTCCTACTGCCCCATACTATCCGTCCGCGGTGACCTCGATCGATGGACGACCGTCATCAGCGCCTTCGACACCACCGCTAATGAGCGATTCCGACGACGACAGCCTCGGGCGTGCTAGCATAGACATACCTACACCACCGGATGCCATCCGCATGAGGAAGCTCACAGGTGCTTCACAAAGGCGTGCCTTCTCTCCTATGCCTCCGGCGCAGAACCTTTTCTGTCCACCCAAGCACAACCCAGGAAGAGACTTCACAAATGCCTTGGTGAGCAAGACGTGTGAGCTTGTTCTGGGGCCGCCCGCACACCTGGTATCCGTCATGCTTCGTATTGCTACGAGCATCTCAAATGGGTTCGGTTTTATCACATACCGCGTACGCCGTGCTGAGAAGATTCCATGCGCTTGGGAGTCAGATGATGATGCTGACTGGGCTGAAGAAGACGACTTCGGCATCCCGCTCAACAACATCGGGACCCCGGCAATGCGTCGACAGACGTTCTCGGGCGAACTTGACTGATGCATTTGAGGCTGGCTGAGCTTGGATGGTGGTTTCTTATTGCATTTTCACGGTTGATACCAGGCGTTGCATTTTATGTTTGCATCTAGAAGGCGAAGGTCATGCTACTTTCAGTCGTACTTGCACGACGTTGACGTTTTTGAAGAATACATGATTGTAATATGGCGGTACGATAGTGGATAATATGAGATGCGCTCTTCGCATGAATGAGGATACAAGTTTACACACCGTCTTTGGCTGGGCAAGCAGCGTCACTGAGAAGCTGAGACCACAACACCACCCTGGGGCATGCATCCTACCCTTGCCCTGCTGAAGCTTGATCGGAGGCATCCCGATGAGCCTGGACTCGGTGCTGAATGTGGTGACACTACGTAACCTGCTCTCCTGAGCCGTAAGACTCCGAAGCAGGTCATCTCTATGACTTCAATCTCGCCTTCAGCGTGCTGCTATCCGTCATGGCGGGCGACGCATGTGGTATGACATGATGCCTGACGTCGAATACCGTTGGATCTCGATCGCGAGGTACACTCCTGGGGAAGGCGTTACCGGGTCTGGCTCCTAGCGCCCGGTTTGTCCGTCCAGTCGCGCGGCGATGACGAGCAGCCATGCAGGCACAACATAAGACGATGCTCACTCATCCCATCTCCATGACCCCATCAGCGCCATACCGCAAATGCACACGTCGGATTACTTGCATACCCTCACCTGAGGGAGACTGTTGGGACTTGCGCGTGATCGCCCGCGTCGTGGGGCATTTTAAAATGAGGATGCAGGGTTATGGGTCCTAGCCACGCTGGCAAACCTTCGATCGCATCCAGCCAGCTTTACCGCAAGTTGCAGCGCCAGCGGCTTGTCCAATGACGTCTAGCGCTCGCTCGCGTGTTGCGCACGGAATCAAGGACCTGACCGACTAATTAACTTTGTAGAGGAGGCGGGTGATCCGTTCCTTTTCCCCTAACACTCCCATGGAACCTTCAGCTTTGTGTCAGGAATAGACACCCGTCTCGCTTGCTTACGCCTCATCACCTACTTATCCATTTCGCTTCGCACTGCCGGGGCTGCAACATCGACTACTACCGGATCGCGTTTACTATGAAAAGGAAGATGGAGGAGGATCTCGACGTGTTGTTGGACGAGACGTTGACGCTATGCAAAACACCCCCCGTTCCGCGACGCAATCCGCATCGCGTCTTCTATCAGTACAAATGCAAAACATCGCCGCCCACGACGCCACCAAAGGAACCGGAGAACCCAGAGATGGAGATGAAAGGACCGCCCATGTTCCACTTTGGAGGGCAAACCGAGTTGGTCCCTAAGCCCCTCTTCGCCAGGAGCAACTCGCTGCCATCACAATCCGTCCGGCCGTCGCTACCATCTCGGCCATCCGAGCCTTTCCAGTTCAACGCGGACGACATCGTCAAAAGCCCGACACCTTTGTTCGGCAGGAGGAACACGCTGCCATCCAAGGTGCGACGCGCTGTTGCCGCCGAAAGAAAGCCATCGCCGTTGTCGCGCGGAGAGGGAGTGCGATCGTCGCAATCGGCCCACACCACCACCAAGGAGCCCACGTCACCAGCGCTGCCACGTAAGGAACCCAACACCACCCCGAACCCAAAAGCGAAAACCACCAAGTCGCAATTCGCGACTCCGCAGAGGACCCCCCGTGTTGTCGACATCAAAAGACCATCACCACTTTCTGGCAAGGGGAGTGCGCGACGACCCGGTCCCACCCGATTCGCTCCTGTGGAACCCCCATCGCCGATAGTACTGTCACCCGTCATCTCCAACAGCTCTGCGACTTCATCGCCATCGCCATCTGTCTTCTCCGAAGCGGCCAGTTTTTCTGCATCGAGCCCATCAACACCTGCCACGTCACCACCTGGCTCTCCAATGGTGCCAACAACACACGCTCGCTCGCAGTCGCTAAGTTATTTTCCGCCGTCTCATTGGACCATCAAGCCCTCGCCTTCCCCGATCTACGTCCCCAGGCAAAAGTTGAGGAGGAAGGACAGTCCCAAAATGGAGACACTTCGCACACTACGAGCGAAGGAGTCGGACATGATGCTGCAACAAATTTACGACCAACATTGGGAAGCCTACCGCGCAAAACTACTTGTAAGTTCTGCCAACGCACCTTCCACGCAGCACTCACTAACCTGGCGTAGAACATGACTAGCGGACTCCGCGCTGCAGAGCGACTTTAACGATCACGATTTATGACTTAACGACTTCAAGACGAGGGCATGCATGGCGTCACACGGCATCTGATTATAATACCCCGGGTTTGGATATATGGGCGCATTTAGAAACCGATTTGCATTTACGGTCTGCATTCACGGTCACAAGCGTTTTAACATATGGGTATACACTGTAATCTAATAGAGCACAGGGCACTACAGCCCTGGTTTGATTCCAACATAATCTTCGTCGACGACTCTGAGCGAGCGAGCGGCGCACCCTGTCGTGCTGCGGAGCCTCAGCTGCACGCATGCAGAGCTTACATCACCCGCGTCTGGCAGCTGACCTTGATAGCACGCAGCCCCCTCGTGCGGCGCTAGTGATTGGTTGACACATCTGACAAGCGCAGCAGACAGCCTCACCAGGCCTTAGCTGCCTTTTCTCCCCGCTGCACCCGCCACCTGATATTTGTTCACCAACTTTACTCCTTTTGGAGATGCAACTCGCAACACATGAACTCCCAAGGTAAACGTACATTGTCTGTGCTATATCCAGACCGCCTGCGCCGCACATCCGTCGTGGCGCAGTGCGTAGCCCTGTTATGTGTAAAGGTGGGCCTGACCTAGCCACCATAGGCTAAGCAGGCGCGTAAGATGGCCCCCAAATGGATACCCATATGCCTCGAGCGTTCTCCATGTTCGCATTGACGCGGAACAGCACATCAAACTGTAGTTATGTGGGGGGGTGTGGCACAGGACTTATAGGAAGCTTGTTCCCACTTCCCGTGGTTTTCGATGATTTTCTGGTAGCATTCTGAGATCGCGTTTCTGCCCTGGTGGCACGTCATTTGTTTCATACCACAAAGCGCAGCCTTGTAGGCAGCCTTGGGACCTTTCTGCAGACGACTCAACATCTGACTCACGCCTCGTCGTTGCCACTGTAACACGTATCGATTTGGAAGAGGCCGCCTCGTGCCAGTCATGCGTATGAGTCGGAGGCGGGTTTAGTGTTTGACTCGACAACTTCAGTGCAGTATCCTACACTCACAAGCAAACGTCTCGCGATTGTATTCAAAACACAGTATACCATCGCCGTTCACGAAAACCCCGGATCGCCAGAAACTGATACTGACGACACCGACATCTGTTGCCTTTCTCGGCGCCAACAAGCATGGAATCCTCGAACCCAGAGAGAAATGACAACGCGCCGCTGCGCTTGCTCTCGCTAGATGGAGGGGGTGTACGGGGCCTGTCGTCTCTGTTGGTACTTCAAAACCTGATGGAGAACATAGCCTTGGAAGAGAAGAGGTTAGGAAGGAAAGCCATGAACGACCACGAACCGCTAAAACCGTGCGACTACTTCGACCTTATTGGAGGCACATCAACGGGTGGCATAATAGCCATCATGCTGTCACGATTGCGACTCGATTGCAAAACCTGCATCGCTGTATACAGTAAATTAGCGGAGCAAATCTTCAAGCACGATCGATCAATAAAGGCATTTGGCATGAAGATCCCCACAGGAGCTAGTCGGTTTTCCGGTGCCGTTCTCGCAAATGCCATCAAGTCTGCTTTGAAAGACCTTGGCTTCGATCCAGATGAACTGATGTGGGATGAGGCGCTTTTTGAAGAAGTGGATGAAGCGGCTGATCTACCCAGAGACAGCATCTGGGCAGATGCGCCGCCAGCGCCGGTAATCACAGAGAGTCCGGTCGGCACACTCAAGAACTCGCTATGCTCGTTGGAATCAGGCCCTCCCGAAAGTGTCGATAGCACGAAGAATCTGTCCACACTCTTTAGCGACAGTCCGTTCGGCCCGCGAAAGCCAATGCGAAGCGCTACTTGGAAGCTACATCACCGGCAATCAGTTCACAAAAAGGCAAACGCGAAGGGGTGCCGCGGCTTTGTACTTACTTCCCTCAAGAACGCGTTGGGCCTTCCCCGAATACTGTCTACCTACGATCCCAATGACCGGACGACGAGAATCTGGGAAGCGCTAAGAGCTACATCTGCAGCACCAACCTTCTTCGAAGAGATGCAATTCGGCACGCCTAAAGTTACCTATCTAGACGGCGGCGTAGGCTTCAACAACCCTTGCGCAGAAGTCGACTACGCGGCAAAGGCGCTGTGGGAAGGCCGCTCCATCGGTGTCATCGTCTCCGTAGGCACCGGTCTACAAAGCATCCCCAGCGTAAAGAAGATGGCATCGTGGCTGCCCTTCGGCCTTGGAACAGACATATCAATAGCCAGCGCACTCACCGGCATGGCAACAAGCACCGCACGCGTCGACAACGAAATGAAGCGCATGTACAACAACTCCGACACCAAATACTTCCGCTTCGACGTCGACCGCGGCCTCGCAGACGTCAGCCTAGAACAATGGATGAAAGAAGACGAAATGGCCTCCCTAACCGAACTCTACATGAACGACGGCGAGCAAATCCGGTCCGCCAAAGACTTTGGCCAACGCATGGCCAAACTCTCCGCCTTACCCCCCAAATTCGAAATCAGCGCTTCCCACTTCCGTCTAGGCATGACCGGACGCGGCCTCCTTGATTCATCATTCCAACTTGCGCAGGTTGATTTTAAAACGGGTATGCCGTTAGGCATTTCCCCGCACCTCGACGATATACCACGCATGTCTCAATACCGCGACCTCTCGCCCAGTGGCGAAAGCGGACTCGCTCTCGACAACGCAACCGGCCGTCTCAAACGCATCTTCCCCGTAGCCGAAGACCTCGACCACGATGGCCGCCGCGAAGAAGCCGCTGTGTACCAGTGCATCAAAGCCGACAACATCTGTCTCCGCACGATAAAAACAGGGATACCGCAGGGCAAATACAAAGTCCAGTTCCTTGTCTCCTTCCACAACAGCACGCATACGCCGCCTAGCGATCTTGTCTTTAGCGTCGGGAAACCGTTTGATCCGTCGACCTTCTCGCAGCGCTATGTCGATGTCAAGATTACGCCGGATGTGGGGAGTGTGCTGTTGCATCCGGATGCGGTGAGGGTTAGGGTCGGGTCGAGACGGTATGAGGAGCTCAAGGGGAAGGGGTGGGCGGAGATTGAGGGGGATATCGAGGTTAGTGTGGGGTTAGACGGGGCATTGGGGTTTATTGTTAGTAAGAAGTATGAAGATGGTGTGTTTGTGGACGGATGGAGTTTTGGTGGTGTGAGGCTGGAGCCGGTGTTCGGGACGGCGGGTGGGGTGGTGACGAGTCCGAGGATTTTGACATGATTAATTGAGTGGGCGTTATGAGAACGTTGTCTCGGCGAGTGGTTGGTAATCGCTCGTCAACTTTCGATGTGTACAAGCTTTGTTTCGATTCTCTTTGTCGGGCGTCTGGAGGAAGTTATGGCGAGCGCAAGGTTTGAGGGAATGTTTATCAGACAGGAATTATAGACCATGTAGTTTATGTGTCATAGCAGCGAAGCGCATGTTTGTTCAAGAAAAGAAGAACTTTTATTGAACTGTCTACCGTTTCTATTATTGAGACACACCCTATGCAAACACCGAACAGTGCCGATACGTGTGTTAAAGAGCGACGATAGTTGATATTATCGTGTGACGACAAGCCCTACGATTGGCTTGGCTAGCGTTGACCAGTGAGATCCATTCGACGGTGTCTGCATGTATCAGGAGCGAGATCCCGATGCTCAGAGTGTGGGGGAAGCAGTCGGGCAGGTGGTAACGCTGACGGTGTTGAAGACGGTGGTAGGCACGCTTGTGGTGGAGGTGATCGTAGCAGAGGCAAGAGTGAAAACCGTCGCTGTAGCGGTACCGGAGACGGGTGTCGAGGTACTATCATTGATAAGCGAGTGCATGATGGAAGCAAGGAATACAGTACTTACGTGGTAACGGTAGTCCTGGCAGTGGCAGTCGAAGTCGCAGTGACTTGAGCCTGAGTGAATGTGAAGTCAGGACCGAAGAAGCCAGCACGCTTCTCCAACTTCGCCTTGGAGTCATCGACCGCGGCACGCTTGTTCAGCTTCACCTTGGGAGCGGCAAACGCGACGCGCTTGCGGTGGAGCTTGAAGGTGGAGCAGCCGGAAAGCTTGCGTCCTCCAATGATGTTCGAGTTAACGCGGACGTCACCGATGCTGCCCTTCATGTAGCAAGCACCAGGCTTGCCAATGACCCAGGAAACATTGACACAGCCAGTAGTGTTATCACAGGCTTGGAGACATTGCTCGTAAGTGTCGGTATACACGAGACCGTTTTCAACTAGATACAATATTAACTTGTGTGCGTTGTAACGATGAACAGGGGAACTTACGGTCATTGCCGAAGCGGTCAGAGCTGCACTCGACAGCATATACTGCGCCACATGACGTTGTGACCATTGAGCCATTGGAACCAGGGCAGCTCGTAGCGCCTGTTGGGCTCGCAGCAGGAGCGCTCGATGATGCAGCAGGAGCACTCGATGATGCAGCAGGAGCACTCGATGATGCAGCAGGAGCACTCGATAATGCAGCAAGGGTGCTTGATGGTGCAGCGAAGACGCTAGCAGGTGTGCATGCGCACTGGTATGCTGTGTTGGAGATGGTCGTAGTGACAGTAACGGTAGAGGGTCCGGGAGCGGGCGCAGCTGAAGTGACTGGAGCTGAGCTTGCTGCTACTGCCGAAGAAGAAGAGGAGACAGAAGAGGAAACACGGGATGAGGTAGACACAAGCGAGGAGGCAGCCACGGATGAGGAAGCAGCCATGGACGAGGAGGCAGGTGCCGCCGAGGATGCGGCCGCAGACGAAGAAGCGACAGCAGACGAAGAGGCAGGTGTCATCGAGGATGCGGCCGCAGAGGAAGAGGCAGGTGCCGCCGAAGAAGCACTAGTTGCCGACTTAGTTGAGATGCTGCGGACCAGTCTTCCACCAATAATGTTGCTGTTCGAACCAGCAGCGTTGGCTGCGCTCTTCAGGTAGCAAGGACCGTTAATAATGTAGCTGGCAGCGACACAGCCTGAAGTGGTAGAACAGTCTGCCAAGCAGCCCTCGTAGGAGCTGGGGTAGGTCGGGCTCATTGGGCCCGGAATATCGCCACCCTGGTAGTCGGCACCGCACTCGACTAGATATTGCATGCCGTTGACAGTGACCATGGAGTTGTTGGAGCCAGGGCAAGAAACACTAGCGCCTGAACTGGCAGCAGGGCTGGAAGATGAACTTGCGGTGACGACTGTGGTGCTGACAACTGTGGTCGTGGCGACTGATTGAGAGGAAGCGCCTGCAGAAGAAGCGATCATCGAAGAAGATGAAGACACAGGAACTGATGCAATCCTAGCACCCCAGACACCACCGTTGGACCTAGGCGCACCGACACCGCTCTTCAAGTAGCAAGGGCCGTTTGGCAGGTATGAAACGGCCTGGCAGCCAGAAGTAGCTCCGCAAGCTTGGATACACTGCTCATAGTTCACAGGGTTACCAGGCGCAACACCGATATCGGAGTTAGTGCGGTCGATGAAGCACTCGACGACGAAGTCTCCTTGAGGGGTGGTGAACGTGGCACCATCGCTCGCGGGGCAGGACAAGGCAGACGCAGATGGCGACGCGCTGGCTGAAGTGGGGGTGACAGAGCTTGAAGTGATGGCAACAGAGCTGGAAGCAGGGCTTGACGAAGCAGGGCTGGAAGAGGCTGAGCTTGAAGCCGGGCTTGAAGAAACAGAACTGGAAACACGGCTTGAAGAAGCTGCGCTCGAGATAGGGCTTGAAGAGGCTGAGCTCGAGACAGGAGTTGAAGCGGCTGGGGTAGATACAGGGCTTGAAGAAGCGGAGCTCGAAGCAGGGGTGGAGGCTGCTGAGCTCGACGCAGCGCTTGAAGAAGCGGGGCCCGATGCAGGGCTCGAGGAAGCAGAGCTGGATGATAGGCGCGCAGATGAGCTAGAAGAAGCGGCCGAGGATGATGCGGCCGGAATGGAGCTCGGTGTCGGAGTAACCGTAGTCACACTTAGGACGGTGGTAGTAGCGACGGAGGCTGAAGAGGGCGATGGGATAGGAGACGGTGAAGCGGATGAGCTGGAAGAAGCGGACGAGGGCGACACGATGGAAGCGGAGCTCGATGGAGTAGCCGTAGTGACGCTTACCACTGTGGTGGTGACAACAGAGGCTGAGCTTGGCGAAGGGATCGCGGAAGGTGTAGAAGATGAGCTCGGGACTGGTACGGCGGATGAGCTTGGCAAGGGAATGGAAGACGCGATTGAGGACGAGCTCGGCGAGGGGATAGGAGGAGGCGAAGTAGATGAGCTTGACGACGGGACAGAGAAAGGTGAAGAGATTGAGCTCGGCGTTGGCGTGACTGTCGACATGACGACCGTGGTGGTAGTAGACACTTGTGCCGACGATGATGGTACAGCCGGAATGGAGGATGATCGGGAAGACGATGGCACAATGGGTGCTGGAGAAGAGCTAGAGGAACTCGGTCGAATGGATGTCGGGCAGACAGTGAAGGTCTGTGTAACAGCACTGGTGACCGGGAATGTGGAAGTAGCGATGTTTGTCTGTGTACTCGTGGCAGAGGCGGAAGAGACTGTAGTAGTCGCCGCAGGCCTGACAGGTGCGAACGCAGTGTTGGTAGCAGTCGAAGTCGTCTGAACGACGCTTGTAGCGACAGTGCTTGGGGAAGGCTGGTCGCCGAACGCAGCAGTGAAGGCACGGGGAGTGGCAGCGAACGGGTTAAGGAACGCATAGTTATCGATCGTATAACGACCCATGTTGACCCAGTCGTAAAGGTCAGCATCCTGACAGAAAATGCCTGTATAGGTTGCCGGTACGCCTTGGGTCTGGTAAGTGCAGGTGCGGGTGTACAAAAGCAACGGGTTGGAAATGATGGGGGTGAATGTAGGCCTGGTTCCTTGATAACAGGTAGAAGTACCAGACATATAAGTCACCTGGATACCGAAGTTGTCGCCAGATCCAAAGCTATGCCTAGCTCGATCATAACTGAAGGTTGGGGTGGCCGACCCAATGAGGGACGGCAGACCCGCGGCAACGAGCGAGCAGCCTGACATGTCGGCTGGCTACTGGGGATCGAGCAAATGTAGGAGAAAAGCGAGCGTGCAGAACGAATGATTCCTGACTACAGAGAGCAGAGGGAAACTCTTTTATGAATCCCTACCTTGCAGCTACGCGGCTACTCAATATGATGAGTTCATGGAGCTTAGAAGGGTTAAAAGACCCTGAACCACCAACCAAAATCGAAGGCTATGGGGTTACTCCGACAGGAGGGTTCTCCTCACGATCGATATTCGGTATGTAAATGAGGGGCCGGTTGGTGAGGCATTGGAGCATGCCATCGCTTCCACCTGGGTCGCACGGAGGGAACGCTAAACATCTTCCCGAGCAGGCTGAAAAGATGCACGAATGTTTTCGCGATTGGGAGTGTTGTGCGTCTAGGTACACCTGTGTTCCTGAGGTGCGGTGTGTCGTTCATGGCACGAAACCCTTCCAAGCCTGGAAGACGCGTTTGACAGCACGGACCCCCACTAGGCGTTTAGCGCAGGGGCGCCGTCGTCATCATCATGCCCGTTCACCCAGTCCGGCTCCATCTTGTCTCGAAAGGCTCACAGTTACATCCTCTGTCATGACTTCTACTTTCGATACGGATTTCGGTTTGGTTGGGCTACCGTTTTACGTACTGTATGTGCCATCTTGATCGAAGAAAGATCTCTCTATTACCGAAGAATCCAATTTGCCAAACGTACTCCAGTCTCGAAGGGTCTTTCGCCGAACATCGCATCATGAACGATCCCTGCGTCTCTGCAACCTTTCACGTAGGTTGGTAGACTAAAGGAAAACCACGAAACCACCCATATATAGCCCGCATACCTTGCTAATGCAGGTCCAATATTGTCATGGCCGGCCCCTCGGTACCGTGCCTGAACAGCCATCCATTGCACAACACCCTCGATGGTGATAGCTACCGGCTGCGACATGAAGAATACGAGTTCTCCCATGTCTCTACGCGTTACCATAAACATTTGGAACTCGTGCACTAAGCAGCTGATCGCGAAAGACACATAGAGTTGAATTAAACCCGATGCGAGACTGCCTTTGCGGAGACCCAGGAGGCGCACAATGCGAGCTGCGGGTTGCGAGACCATCTGCAATAGACATTTGCGTTAGCGATGCTTGCATACCGCACTGTGGTGGAAAACTTGGAAACGATGTAAAAGTGTAATGAGGAGTTGATCCTGACGTTACCTTTCTCATTGTTTGGTGGTAGACCACACTCCAGACCTGCCTCACAGACCACGCATCCCTCAACTTTCCCATTAGCGGGGGCCATTGCCACGTTTCGCATACCCCGCTTCCAACGGATACAGCCGCCATGAAGCTGTAAGCGAAGTTCAATCTGTCCCAGACCCATATCGCACCGGACCAACCAATGAGTGCATCGACCATGAGGTGATAGGGGCGGGCTTCCGATGACAGCCGTACCTCCGCAGCTGAACCCCATCCAAGCAGCACGAGCATGGCCATAGACCGCAAGTACGCGATCAACATCTTTCGGACATGGCTGGCCACAAAGGTCCGTCTTGAAAGACCTTCGTACGGATCGTCAGGAACGCCTTTGACCTGCCAGTTCCAACCAATACCACGATGCGACGGAACCATTAGTGGACATACCCGAAAAACTTTCTGCCTTGACAGGTCCATGTCGTCCAAGGTTATCACCCTCTTAGTGCTGCTGCGCTTCGGGTTCCCAGTGTATGCAGGGGCATCGGGCCCTTTCTGTGGAGCCAAAATGGCGAATTCGAGGAACCAGAGAGGCACAGCAATGAAGAACGAGCTGTTGTAATAGTCGGCAGAGGGGTTACCGAAGGTATAGCATGGTGACCTAAGGCATAGGTCTAGAATCTGTGGGAATATGCAGATGGCGATCCGACGTCGGCTGGAAAAGAAGAACGGGACGATGGTAAGGACAAAGATCAGTGGTTGGTAGAGTGGCGGCATGGGCTTTCGGTCGGCGAGCTGTGGCCAAGAGTACCAAAGTGGCGCCATGCTCTCCATCGTCTCCCGCATGTTGGCGTTAATAGTTTCAGGAATAGCCATTGTCACACTTCGCGGGCTACAGGAAGAAGTTCCAGCGGGGCTCGCCAATTTGTGAAGTCGCATTGATCAGGCCACCAGCCTTGGACCGCGTCGAAGGATCCGAGCTGACGTAAACTCTGCCTGCTAACTAAAGCAAGCACTATTGCTACGGCCTGTTTTCTAGGTAAGGCTAGGACAGATAGCTTTCCTCGATCTCCCATCCTCTTCTTCGGACACCCTCATTCTCACATGCTTTCCACGTATCCACCATTGATTCCAACTTATGCCTGGTCTCTTTATTCACGATAGCTCGGTCCTCCTTCAACTCGTCTCCCACGAGTTGAACTAGTGCCCAGGCAACTTCGACCTTCAACAAGTCCGGTGCTGTCAACCAGCTCAACCTCGTCTTACGAATGTCGCCTACGTAGATCGCTGTCAATATGCGATTGTTCTGGAGACGGTCGTGCAGCAGATCGTGTTTATCGTAAATGTATAGAGATGTGCCGAATCGCTTTTCTCCCCTTCCGCTGCCCTTGGAAGACACGATGTCAGTGGCAAGGTAGGCATTCAGGTCTCGAAGGGCTTGATGGTAGACTGGCTGGCTACTCAACTCATCGATGATCGCCTCCAGCTGACCGGCGAAGAGCGTGCATTTCTGCTCCCGAGTCTCTTCTCCTTCATCGCGGGAAGGCCATGGATAATCGAGCAGGACAAGACGCCAGGAAAAGGTATCAGGAAGGACCGAAGGCTCTCGGGCTGGGTCGCGCTCCCACTTTCGGTTGCGCAAGTTGTTGACGTAAGACACCATCGCTATTAGGATCGGGTTGCCGTGCTGTAGCCACCAAGACTCTGCGATATATTTTCCACTCAGCAATCTATTATAGAAGCCTTTCGTAAGGCTGGTGTACGTTGGCCCGTCGTTGAATACAAACGTCGTGAAAATATTGAGACATTGCTCTTGGATGAGTTTCGGTGTAAGAACTGTATCGTCGGAAGAGTCCACCGCATGTTCTAGAAGTTCGATGAAGTCCGCAGAAAAGCGACCATTCCGGAGACTGCGGTCTTGCCCAAATAGCCGTATCCATGTTTGAACTTCGGGAAGTGAAGCTAGTGCAGGATCAGCGACAAGCCCCTGATTCATGGCTTGCAAAGATGCCGGAGGTCCGATGATAAAGCACAGGTATTCCACATATTCTTCCAGTATAGTATGCGGTACATGAGCCGGCTTCTTGTTGTTCTCGTTTAGTAGCAGCCTGTTCACGTACGGGTCTCGCGGGATGGATGGGATGCGAACGTCCATAAGCAACGCGTCTTCAAGCCCGTACTTTCGGAGAAACAATGCTGCCCATCTCGTCGTATGATCTCTGAGGTTCTGCAGTACCGGCATCAAGACTCGATCTACGAATTGCTGGAACTCGACCGTATCGTTCTTCTTGTTACAGAAATATTGGATCAGAGCCACCAAAACCGGTGATTCTGACCCTTCCTCGAGCGAAATGCCGGCCTGAATCTCGGGGAGCGTGAGGTCCTGTTCGCACTGCAGCCACTGCGCTTCGTCCAGCGGCTGTCTTTCGTTCAACGATCCAGCTATTGGTATGAACAACTCCAGAAGAGCAAGTACTGCGCGAGATTGGTCTCGAGAGCCAGTTTCAAACAGTACTAGGAGGCTCTTGACGATGTTGAGCCTGACGTCCACATGGGTGTTCATTTTTGAAAGTGTCGATAGCACTGAAAGAGCGTAGTCTGTTCCGTTCAAGTCAAGGTCCTGGAAAATCTGAACCAACATCTTAATCGTAGTGACTTTCACATGTGGCTCGCCAGTAGGTCGCGCAACATTGCCCTCTACTGAGCTCTCTCTGTTCATGTTTCTGGTCTGTACCATGTTGATAATCTCATCGGAAAGAGATCCAATGCAGGCTCTAGCTTGCGACGCCGGAAGCCTTCGGAGGAAACTCGGTTTTAGTAGGATGCGATGCCATGAGCTCGACTTGGGCCTATCCAGGATTGTACGGACAGCTGACTGCGTGGCCAAGCCAGGTCTATCACTTTCGCCCAGTCGAGCAATGAGCTGCATAGTGACCTCATGCAGAGCTGTATGGCTGTCGGATTCTTCAACTGTGTCCGCATGATCAAGAGCTTTGACGAGGTTTCGTGAAAGCTGTGCCAGCAATGTAGGAGGTATCGTATCGAGATGACCGTGTATGGCTCTGGAAGCTGTAAACTGATTTGGCTCATCAGAAGTGAGGAACTCTTCGTCCAAGTATAAAGCCGGGTATCGCGTGTCTGTTTCCGAAGGAAATTGAGTCGCTAGAAGGCGGTCGCTCTTGACGAACTTCGCGTCGAGATACAGCAGAGCCGATAACACGCCACCTTCTCCCATATCGCGCGATGAACTCCAGATAAGCCTAGCGTCCTCTTCGTAGCCAGGAACTTTAACTGGTGCTGCAACAATGGGAAAGTTCACACGGCTTCTTGAAGTCATGATTCTCGATACGCCAACTGAGAAGTCCACATAAGTCGGTGCATCAAGTTCCCGCTCGACAAAATCCGGTCTTGTCGCA